AATGTCTGCTCCTGTGGGTCAGAAGAAAACTGGGATCGGGGATTGAGATTCATCTATTTTGGAGTGGGATTGTGCACCCCAAACATGGTCATCTATGGAGGTCTCCATCCTTAGAAGTCCTGAATTTGCGGGGAGAAGCTGGGACGAGAGGTGCCTTGGGCTTTGTCTCCAGGGCATTGCCACAGACCTTTCTGGGTCTGTCTGCAAGCCCTCTGGTGGTCACTCAACACCGGACGCTTCTCATGGGATTCACCCTGTTCCTCCTTATATGACCCCAAGGCCGTTTCCAGAGGAGAAACTTCCCATTCTGCAAAAGGAGCTCCATCGTCTTTCCTCTTCTGGCGCACAGACTGGATACAATGCAAGAGGTCACTGCCAGAGGGGACACGTCTGGCACTGCCTTCAAGCTCCTGCTCTCCTGGAGTGCAGCTGGCCAACAGGACTGGACAAAGGAGCTACAGCGGAGAGCCAGCACGCCAGGAATGATGCTACCGGAAAACAATGGCAGTTTGCTTGTGGAGGATTTGTGTTCAGTATGAGCCTGAGAAAGTAAGCACGGCTCTTCATGGAATCACCTCCTAGCCCAGTGGTTCCCAGCCTGGGGAACTTGAAGACGTGTGGACATCACCTCCCAGAATTCCCCAGCTAGCAATGTGTGGCTGAGGAGTTCTGGGAGTTGAAGACCACCTATCAAGAAACACAGAGAACATGAGAAACACTGCAAACACTCAGACTGTTTCTGATAAGAGTTCCATGCTCTGTGTGAAGATTTCAGGGAAGGAGGAGAGCTGGTTTCACTTGCTTACAGCATGTCCATCCAGGCAATCTCCTTCCTTGCAGGTTTGATTTTTCTATTTATGTTTCTTTTTTTAAAAAAAAAAATATGTTTAAATATTGTTTCAAACTGGCATGGTTATTTTGTCTTTTGTTCTTGTTTGCTATGTTAATGTTCTAATTTATATAAGTTTCCCAGTCAAGCAAATAAATAAAATGTTGAAAGAGTTTTTTCAGACAGTTTTACGGTTGCAATCTCTCTTCCACCAAAGAGGCAGTCCTCAACTCCATCACACTGAAAGCATGGAAGAAGGAGAGCTTTGAATACCATAAAAAGTCTCATTAGAATATTGTGCAAATTAACCTATTTATATTTTACAGAAATTAGACCTTGCTTCATTTTATTCCTTCTTGAAATGCCAGCTGCTGACATGTCACACAAGAGTATGCTTGGTTTGTGGTTATTGTTCATTATCTTAGGAGCCGGTAAGTTGTGTTTCTGTCACTGTGTTTCTAGCATTAGATGCAGTTTCAAACCAGGGCTGAACTTTTGGGCTCAAAACACGGTTTGTTTCCTTGAATCTAGGCAAGATCTTTACTGAAATAGATATAAAACTCTGGAGGATCTTGCTTTCCACCCAAAAGAGCTGAGTTGGGGAAGAACTTCAAGAAAAAAAGCAGATAAGATTGAAATTACAAACTCTAGCCCAGCTGTTCTCAACCTGTGGGTCGCGACCCTTTTGGGGGTCGCACGAGCCTTTCACAGGGGTCGCCTAAGACCATCGGAAAACACATATTTCTGATGGTCTTAGGCAGGGCTTGTCAACCGCCTTCTCTCCCTCCCCCCCTCTGCTCCACCTCACTTGTTTGTGGAAAATATAATGCTTGGCGGCAGTCTGCACAAACCCTACCAAATGTGCCCTGCAGGGGGCGCATGAAGAGCGCAGGCACAGAGCAAGGCCCCACCCTCCCCAGAGACTCATTGTGCAGCAACCGGATTGACTTCTTCTCGTGCACGCAGGTCAGCGAAGGGGAGGCCGCCGCAGCACCCAACTCCTGCGCCCGTCAGCTGGCAACCCCCGAACTTGCGCTTGTCAGCCGGGAGGTCTGGCGACGGCCGCTTGTCTCCTTTGCCACCCCGCCCATCCTCGACTCCTCCTCCGCCTGTTCATGTCGAGCCTGTCGGGGCTTGACAGGGAGAGAGGGAGGGAAGGAGGAAGGGACTCCTCCTCCTCTCCTAAGCTTCAAAGCACGATCGGCTTCCCAAGGGCGCCACAATCCTCATGAAAGCAGGGGGGGGAGAAGCAAAGGGGGCGAGAAAGCTCATAGCGGGCTCGAAGCAGCACCTGTCAGCGTTGGTGATGAGAAATTCCACACAAAGCCAGGGAAGGGGAGAAAAGGAGCCCCCTTTGGGAGGAAACCACCACCTTCTTCTCCTTGGCTTTGCACTCTTCTGTTTCTCGGCAGCCGGGCTGCCAAGCCTCTGCTAGCTGGAACTTCTTTTCCTTCCCTCTCTCTTGGTCTCTTCCTCCTTCCCTCCCTCTCCCATTGTCCCTTCCTTCCTTCCTTTCCTTCACCTCCCTCTTTGTCCCTCCTTCCCTCCCTCTCTCCCCTTGTCCCTTCCTTCCTTTCCTTCACCTCCCTCTTTGTCCCTCCTTCCCTCCCTCTTTCCCCTTGACCCTTCCGTCCTTCCCTCTTGTCCAGGATCGGGGCGAACCTCTACAGCTGATCCATGCTTTTGCAGAGCAGCCAAGAAGCAGGTCAGCTGTAGCAGCTCTCCTTGGCTCCTGCCCAGCAAACTTGCTTGAGCTTTGCTCGAAAACATGCTGCTTGCTAATTTAGCAGAAGCGCAAATCAGCTGTAGCCCGGCGCTGATCCTGGGGTTTCTGCTAACTTAGCAAGCGGCTTGTTTTCTGGAAAAGCTAAGTAAGTGAGCTGGGCGGAGCTCTCCTCTGCCTCTGGCAGCCTGTCCCCCTCCCCTTGTCCCTTCCTGGGCATGGAGGGGGGGAGGAAGGAAGGGACGAAGAGGGAAGGAAGTAAGGGACAGTGAGAGAGGGAAGGAAGGAAGGAACAATGGAAGGGAGGGAAGGAAGGAAGGGACAAAGAGGGAAGGAAGGAAGGGTCTGAGGGAGGGGAAGGAAGGAAGGAAGGAAGGAAGGAAGGAAGGAAGGAAGGAAGGAAGGAAGGAAGGAAGGAAGGAAGGGACTAAGGGAGGGGAAGGAAAGAAAGGAAAGAAGGAAGGGACAATGGGAAAGAGGAAGGGAAGGAGGAAGAGACTAAGGGAGGTGAAGGAAAGGAAGGAAAGAAGGAAGGAAGGGACAATGGGAAAGAGGGAAGGAGGAAGAGACTAAGGGAGGTGAAGGAAAGGAAGGAAAGAAGGAAGGGACAATGGGAGAGAGGTAGGGAAGGAGGAAGAGACTAAGAGGGAGGTGAAGGAAAGGAAGAAAAGAAGGAAGGAAGGGACAAGGGGAAAGAAGGGAGGGAAGGAAGGCAGGCACCCACCCCAATCCCATCCCAGAGACCCCCAGATTCCCCCCCACAGGCACTCTGCAACCTGAGTGATCAGCTGGCCACGCCCCCTGGATCATGTGACCCTGGGACACTGTGAACGTCATAAGTATGAATCAGTTGTCAAGCATCCGAATGTAAATCACATGACCCTGGGGATGCTGCAACAATCATAAGTGTGAAAAATGATCATAATTCGCTTTTTCAGTGCTGTTGTAACTTCAAACAGTCACTAAGCGAATTGTTGTAAGTCGAGGACTACTTATACTTTCCCATTTTTTCCTCTCTTTTTTTTGGTCAAGTTTTTGATACCCCCCGGCCAGCTGGATGGGGGGTTGAGGGTCACCACAACATGAGGAACTGTATTAAAGGGTCGCGGCATTAGGAAGGTTGAGAACCACTGATCTAGCCGAAGAAATAGAAGATATTTTCCCTGCTTTCTTTGCAAAACATAAAAAAGACAATAATATTATTTGTTTCATATAGATTTGATATGCTACTCGACAGTACAGTCTAAATTAACACGACTAAAAAAACCCAATCAAAATTTAAGAGCAATGCAAGTCCATGCAAATCCCTTTAATCATGTGGTGAGTGACGGGCATTTAATAAATGAATAATAAATGAATAATAAATGAATAAAAATGTCAACACCCCACATCACTGCCTCTTGATTTAACTTGTGATGAAAGAGAAACTTGTTTTACCATTTTTTTTTCAAAGCAGTATCATTTTGGTTTGTAATATTTTAGAAATAGTTTTATAATAACCAAGAGAGAGATAAAATTTGAAAGATCCATAGCCAGCGTTTCAGTCTTCAACAAGATTGAAATAGGCTGTCCATTTTCTAGGGAGCTTCTTGCTGTCTGAAAACAGAGGTGGTGGGGATAATCCTTCTGGATGGTTTTCTTCTAAACCTCACTGTTGCCATTTCCCTGATCCAGATCGTTTGGGTGGAAGTCGGTTGCTCAAATCTTGAGAGGACAGTAACTGGTTTGCTGTTGGAGTGAAGCATTCTAGGGGGTGGAGGGGGGGAGAGAATTGACCATTCTGACTGTGTCCGCACAGATTCCTCTTTCTCCCAAATCCAGTTGTTACAGCTGAACACAGCTGCCGTTGTACTAGAACAGGGTTTCTCAACCTTGACAATTTTAAGGCATGTGGACTTCAACTCCCAGAATTCCACAGCCAGCAATGCTGGCTGTGGAATTCTGGGAGTTGAAGTCCACATGCCTTAAAATTGTCAAGGTTGAGAAACACTGTACTAGAAAGTTACAGTTCCATTGCAAACAGAGATCATTGCTTAAGTTGGTTAGTTCTGTTAGCACATCCAAAAGAAAAATTTCAGGTACTATGAAGAAACCTGCATGTCTGTGCAATCAGAGTTAAATATAGGAAGAGAGTAGTAAGATAACGCTGCGTAAAACAGAGTTTCTGTTCCTAGAGCAGTGTTTCTCAACCTTGACAATTTTAAGGCATGTGGATTTCAACTCCCAGAATTCCACAGCCAGCATTGCTGGCTGTGGAATTCTGGGAGTTGAAGTCCACATGCCTTAAAATTGTCAAGTTTGGGAAACACTGTCCCTAGAGGTTAACAATTTAATCAGTTACCGGTAGTAAGAAACAGCACCACTTTTTTGGGCGAAAAAGCCTGGGCCCTAGGCGTAAAAGGTCACAAACTGAAGTGCGCTAAAGAAAAATTAGAGTTTGAAACTTACTGTGGCTGCATCCTCCTGTTCATCGTGGTCTGTTCGGTCATTGTGGTCTCTTCTCATAGAAACAGCTCAGTCCACTCAGAGTCGTCTCGATAAACAGGCTGGAAGCGCTGCGTATCCGGCGCCATCGACCCTTCGGCACTTCACCAACTGCAGACCACCAGGGGGCGCTGGGGGGCTGTAACGGGCGGGGATTCTTCCCCCGGAGTTGTTGCACGCGCGGGAATGCATCCGCCCTCAGTTCCGAGAAAGTCCGCCAGGGGGCATGAAGCGCGAGTGGAAAAGTGGGTATTCTTGCCGTCCCCATTCCTGTTTTTTTTTTTGCAAAACAACCCTCGGAGGAATTGCGAGGGAATTGAAGGGGAAATCCTCCCCTGGGAAGACTAAACAAGATGCCCGTGATGGGAAACTCATCAAGGAGAGAAGCAACCTGGAATTAAGGAGAAACTTCCTGAGAGTGAGGACAATTAACCAAGGGAACAACGTTGTAGGTGCTTCATCGCTGGAGGTTTTTAAGAAGAGACTGGACAGGCACTTGTCTGAAGTGATACACTGTAGGGCAGGGGCCTTCCAACTTGGCCCTTTGATGACTTGTGGACTTCAACTCCCAGAATTCCTCAGCCAGGCATGCTGGCTGAGGAATTCTGGGAATTGAAGTCCACAAGTCATAAAAGGGTGAGGAATTCTGGGAGTTGAAGTCCAAAAGTCATAAAAGGGCCAAGTTGGAAGGCCCCTGCTGTAGGGTCTCCTGCTTGAGCCGGGGGCTGGACTAGAAGATTCCCAAGGTCCCTTCCAGCTCTATTCTGATTGATTGAGTTATGCAGGAATTATTAACTCAGCAGAGGGGATGAAATATTTTTTAATCCATGAGAAACATGGTAACATTTGGAAATGGCTCTGGTAGACATCTCCCTCTTTTGCTGGAGTACAAATAGTCCTCAATTTACAACAATTCGTTTAGTGACCGTTAAAACAGCGTTGAAAAAGTGATTTATGACCGTTTTTCACACTTACGATCGTTGTAGAATCCACGTGGTCATGGGATCAAAGTTCAGATATTTGGCAACTGACCCATATTTACCCAGGGTCATGTGATCAACTTTTGGGAACTTCTGACAAGCGCATTCGATGGGGAAGCCAGATTTACTTAGCAACTGTGTTACTAACGCAACAACTGCAGTGATTCACTTAGCAACTGTGGCAGAAAAGGTTGTAAAATGGGGCACTGAACAAATTTCTCACTTAGCAAGAGAAATTTTGGGCTAAATTGTGGTTGTACGCCGAGGGCTACCTGTATAAGAAAGGGGAGACTTGCAATTGAGGTCAGATCAGGGCATCAGCTCCCCAGGAGCCAAAACTGCTTTTAACCAAATATCAGAGCTGGAAGTTTTTCTTTTCTTGAAAGAGGCCATGGGATCAAAAATGAAGCTGCCATTTATTTGAGAGAGAAACGGTCCTGGGGAACATGGAAGATAAGGCAGAAATTCCCACAGTTATTATACGCACAAATTTATTCTGTTATTGTTATTGTAGCAGCACTTGTGAAGCTGCTTCAGGTCTCAGGAGCTCAGCTGCATATGAAGAATACTTACAAATTTCATTTTAAAGCCTTGACTTAGAAATGGGTTGATGGTCTGATTGCACAAATCTCCTCCCCTACTTTTGACACTATTTCTCTGGTAATAATTGCAACAATTCAATATGTTGTAGTAAAAAAATAGAGAAGGATGGTTTTACCCCCTTTATAAATCTGCATGTCAAATCCCGGGGGGATATTCAAGACTCAGGAGGGGTGGGGCATTGCTTCAAAATCTCCAAGAGTGTCTTGTAACTGTTGAACTGAAAATAATTATCAAGGCCTGGTGGGAAGGACAAGATTTGGGCTCAAGCCTAGCAAGGCTTATGTCACGGTTCCGATAGATGAAACCAATTAAAAGAACTTCAAGGCAAGGATTTCTTCCTATAAGAACATTTTATTCTGGAAACAAAGTATCGGCACTTACATAGTTGAACCCAAGACTGAGATTCCCTCACCCCAGATACAAAGTAACAGGTTGCATTTCCCACCCCACAGAAGCTGTCATAATTCACATTCTCCAATTAGCGCAAAACACGGGCTTTTCTGTCTGGTTCCTCAGCCCGCCAAAACCTTATCAGACAATGTCTTTGAGTTCCCACACTTCCGCACTGTTATGACTAGCTAAACCAGTGGTTCTCAACCTTTCTAATGCCGTGACCCCATAATACAGTTCCCCATGTTGTGGTGACCCCCAAGTGGGTGTGGCCACCAGTAAGAGGGAGTAGGACAGCTAGGGAAAAGGGAAAAAAATGGCGGACAGCGTGGTTTGGCGACCCCTGTGAAATGGTCGTTCGACCCCAAATGGGGTCCCAACCCACAGGTTGAGAACCACTGAGCTAAACCCTCAAACATTTACCTATTTCCCCCCTTCTACCTCTGAACTCTAAAAGAATAGAAAAGGCACGTTAAAAGCAAAAGTAAAATGGCTGCTGATTCTCAGTGGTCAGAGCGTTGACATCCATTGCCACAGCGTTGACATCTGCCCTCCCCCCCTTAATAGAAAGGAGTAGTCCTGCGAACTAAACAGAAGTATAGGTTAAGGGCTGCCTCTCCGTTTACTTGGGTGTTTGTAGTAGAATTTATGGATGAGCCTATTAGCTTTCACATCATTAGATTTTACCCATGTGGCATCTGATAATGGATATCCCTTCCACTGTACTAAATACTGCAACTTTCCCTTATAAAACCTAGAATCAAGAATACGTTTCACTTCATAATGTGTTTGTCCAGAATGGTTTTAACGAACTGTAATGAAATACAGGGTGAATCTTTCCTCGAAGTCGTGGGTGTTTCAACTCCACCGTAACTGGATTTATGATTCTGACAACAGGGAAGGAACCTAGGTATTTCGGTCCCAACTTCTTACTAGGCAATTTAAGTTGCAGATATTTTGTGGATAAATAAACCTTTTCCCCAACATGGAATGATCTCTGGGGAGATCTTTTTTTATCGGCTTGCTTTTTATAAGTTTCCGAGGCTTTTTTCAGTGCGGTTTTAGTTTTGTTCCAAGCTTCCCCCCATCCTGACATCCATTGGTCAAGAGTCTGGGAGGTAAAGGGCCCTTGAGGATACTCAGGTATTGGGTTGAATTCTTTCCCTGTGGCAATCTTAAAAGACGTGAAACTGGTGCTGCTATGGACAGTATTGTTGTAAGCCACGTCAGCGAAAGGGAGGAGGTCAGTCCAGTTCGTTTGTTGATAATCCACATAACACCTAAGGTACTGCTCCACCATGGAGTTCGCTTTTTCAGCTGCCCCATTCGTAGACAGATGAAAAGCCGACAACAACCCCTGCGATGAGCCAATTATTTTCAGGAAACTCCTCCAAAACCTGGCTGTAAACTGCACCTCCCTGTCAGAGATTATTCGTTTTGGCATACCGTGCAGCCTGTAAATGTGCTTAAGGAACATCTTGGCCAGTTTCTGGGCTGACGGGAGTCCCTTGCAGGCGATGAAATGAGCTGCTTTGAAAAAAAGATCAATCACAGTCCGTATTTCCTCTGCTTTCAGGTAGCTCAACCATAAAATCCATAGCAATCTCTTCCCATGGCTGGGAAGGGTCCACTAGTGGCTGTAATCGTCCAGGGGGTTTCCCCGAAATTCTTTTCATGGTGGCACATGCTGCACAGCCTTTGACATAGTTTTCCATGTCTTTCTTCAAACTCGGTGAAGTTGGTGAATTAAATGTAGCTTTTGGGGAGGGGGGGACAGCCATGCGTTGCTGTTGGTCTAGTAGATCGTGCATTCACCCATAATGCTGCATCAGATCATGCTGGAAGTCTCCCATTCCCTTCTGGGAAGGGGCCTGGGACTGGCATGGTGACGAGGGTAAAGATCAGGGCTGTGTCATCGGTGACGCGGCTCAGGGCTCCATCAATAGTGGTGACAGCCAGGGCTGTCTCTATCCCAGTACTGTTCAAGTCTGCTACGGTCTCTGTAGTGGTCAGGACTCTCCCTGCGCTGCGGTAATGCGAGTAGCGATTGGGGCTCTCAGAGGGGCAATGGTGCTCAGCATCCAGGGCTGTCACGTCGGCAATGATGGGCTGGACTCGATGACTGCTGGTGACGATTGGGACTGGCACGCTGCTGCTGACGGTCCAAACTTCTCTCCCACACAGGGCTTGAAGCTAACGCCGGTGACCTCGAAGGTGGGGAGGCAGCCCTGACACCTAGCACAGGACTAGGACTTCTCCTGGTCAGAGAACTGCCCCTGCCTCGTTCATCCCCCCATTTGCTGGTGGGCTGCGGACGGGTAGGGCGCTCCTTGTTTCCCACCTCCAGCCCTTCGAATATCTCCCTAAGGTGTTCAACTGACTGGCTCCGGACTGCAGTCAGGTACTTCCATTCACCTGAGTCGTCTGACGGTGCCGTTCTTTTCACCCCTCATCTATCAGGAGAGCGTGTGCTTTGGGGAGCTGGTAGTGAGTGTTCGGTCTCGGTTGCTTTAGAAGAATCCTCTTCGGCTGGTTCGCTTCTGATCATTTGGGGTCTCCACTTGTAGGGTCCACTCAGACACCAGATGAGCTCTTTAGTCTTTGGTCTTGCCCCCGCCGTTGAAGCATCTGAGACCACACTTTCAATCGGTGCGATGGCCTGGCCTCCATCCGCCAATGTAACAACTGTGGCTGCTGTGCTACTGACAGGATTCTCCTTCTTCTCCATATTGGGATCTTCCCTGAGTCTTTGTCAGCCTCCCTTCTGCTTTGGGTAGGTGACTGGAGCTCAGGACCCCGTAATTTTATTCTTGGGTTAATCTCGTGGTTCTGATAGATGAAACCGGTAAAAGAACTTCAGGGCAAGAATTCTTCCTTAAAGAACATTTTATTAGGAAACAAAATATCAGCACTTACATAGTTGAACCCAAGAACAGGGGTAGGCAACCGTGGCTCTTTTATGACTCGTGGATTTCAACTCCCAGAATTCCTGAGCCAGCTATGGAATTCTGGGAGTTGAAGTCCACGAGTCATAAAAGAGCCCAGGTTGCCTACCCCTGCCCAAGAATGAGATTTCCTCCCCCCAGATACAAAGTAACAAGTTGCATTTCCCACCCCACAGAAGCTGTC